ACTAGACTGGAACGTTTAAAATTATTTTGCATAAATTGTTAAATGTTCTAGTAAACAATGAATGTACGACCAAACTTTTTGTGCTCAATAAAACCGTTCATTCAGGATGTACAAAGTATAACTTTATATACGACTGCCGAATATCAAAAATATAAATAATTCAAACAATTCTACGTTGTTGTTGAAGAACTGAAATGGTTTTATACTTTTATGTAACATATTCTTCCCAACCATATACTCACAAATAAATATTAAAATAATAAATGTATGATACAGATGCAAAAAGTTCTTGAACTTAGCTTCTGAACTTATTTTAGTAATATCCAAATACCAATTCAAAATGTATACTTTTTGTAAAAAACCACAATTTTTTAATTCTATTTTACTGCTAATATATTCATAAGTATTAAATTTCTCTTCACTGCCCTATCATTATCACCCCTCCTCCAATTTACTCATTGTACATAACTTGTATAGATTGTAAATTTTCAATAAACGCTATTTTTTTTAAAAAAAAAAGTATTACATTTTAAGTTCTAACCATATTGATTCTTATCCATAGACAAATTTAACAAAGATAATTAATTGCAACCAAGAAAATTCAATGAATAATTCGTTTCAATAACCGTGTCTATACAAATACAATTATTATTTTATCAAAAGAAAACAACGACTTATGGTAATAACTAATAATAAATACATTTTCCGTGACACCGTTTTCAAATGCACGAGATGGCGTTTGACATCGAGTAATTAATCAAGTTATCGATTTTTATTGTTGATGTTACAGTTGTTATTACTAACGCGTTGGAAATTGATTGAATGTCGTCATAACTTAGACCAATGTGTTCTGAACTCTGAGACTATTGTAAATAAATTTTGTCAGGATATCGCGATCGGTTACTACAGGACCTTTAAAAATTGGGGTTAATTGAAATGTTTTGTTTGTTAAAAAGTATCCTAAGAAACAATTTGAAGATACAATCAATCACTATTTAAGTGTTTATACTATAGTTAATCATATATTAATTATTTATTCATTTGTTTACTTACCTAATGCCGTGTGGAAGTTTATGGGTAGTATAATTTAATACTTATAATATTATGCATTTATGCTCATTATAGTAAATATAGAATTGAAATAGTGATTAGTGAGTGTATAAAGAAATAAAGGTCTGTTAGCACTAACACAATAGAAAGGAATATATTTAATTGACTTATAAACGTTAAAATAATTAAGTATTTATTGGTAGACGAAAAATAATATATTACTGAGCTGGCATATCATTCTATGTATGGGCCTGGGACACGATGGGGTGGCTATAACTTGTAACTGTAGTAGGTTGGATAGGATATGATTTTAAAACGTGAGTGATTTCTCGTGGGGCAGGCCGGTATCAAAAGACTATCAATACTATGACAATTATAAGTTGTATGCATACATTTTAGGGACGTAAAAAATTCATTTCTGACTTGAATTTCACTAGAAAAACGCGTTGAAACATTATATCATAATTTAACATTGTAGTTGAAATGAAACGACTTCAAACCCGTTGACTCAATAGACAATAACTTGAATGTTGTTTTATGATGATTCTAGTTTTAAGTGTCTTATTTTTCAATTCTCATTCAACAAAATATTATTATTACATCGTAAATAGACTGTCAAAGAAAGAAACTTTTTAAGTATACCTATAAAAATATACACATAAATAAAAAAACGATGAGAATGAAATTTATTTTAAATTACAATTCACTGCAGAATAATGGAAATAATGTACAACGTTAGTTTATATTGTTTTTGGAATTTCAAACGACTAAATATCATAGTAGTATAGCCAGTAGGTACCGAGAACAAAAATTAAAAAGACATTTAAATATTCTCTGCATAAAACAGGCAAATTATTTATTTTTTCACAGTAAAATACTTATTCATAATTCATATTGAACAAAAACTAAGAAGCTTTATTTTGATAACAAAAAAAATATTTTTTTTTTTTATGAAAGAAAAATGAACACAAACTACATATTCTATTTGTACACAATCATTTTAATATATGTACATATATTGTCTACCTACTCGACCAGTTTAAATATGAAATAAAATTAAACATATAGGTTAGTTGAGTTAAAATAAAAACAATCCTTGATGTCCGTCAAGTTGGCACCAGCACTCACTGCTACAACATCAAACCATACATAACATTATTTACACTGTGCTGGATGAAAACTATGAATTCTTGTACTAAATATGAATTTTTCGAACATAAAAAATATGATGACCTATACTTTTAATTCAATCGTAATAAGTCGGTACATGGTACATTGTACGTGTAGTCATATAGACGAATAATAAAACGTCAATTGTACCTTTAACCGGGGAAAATAAAAACAATTTTATACACATCATTAAATAGTCCATTCGTGTTGTTAAGTGATATAAAAAAAACGAAAACCCAAAAATACTAACAACGTTAAAATGTTATTATTTTCTAAAAACATTTTGCTCAATTAATTATAATAAAAGTGTATTTAACGAAACTTAATCGAAAGTTTTACGTTTTTATAACGGTCATTATTGTTGTAATAAAATAATATGTACCTCCGTTTTATTAAAAAAAAAAATGTAATTGCAATTTGTTGATAATATTGTTGCACCACATATTTATTGGTTAGGCAAGTATTTAAAATATTTGGATTAGGTATTTTGTTTATTTTATTGATATTCTTGATATTTTATCTTTTATGGGTGTGGAAATTCAAAATACAATTATGATTTACAATATGCCTTGGTTTTCATCTTAAACTATTATTAAGTGATGAGGTAAATGTTCGATTCACCAATGTGGTACATACCAGATACCACTAGGACAGTAGGACACTAGATATTTTAGTAAACAAAGATAAATTTAGTATTAAAATTCAAATCACACACCTTTTATAAAAGATGTGTGGATCGCTGCAAAATATTTGTGCATATATAACAGAATTTAAAATTCACATTCAAAATGAATATACAGCAGTGTAGGTAAATATCAAAATTATGTAATATACATGTATATGTACAGCTAGTGAAAAATATAAAAGATTTTCTCGATATATAGTGAAACGTCTTATAATTTATGTTCATAAAAATATACAAAAATAATAATTGGTTAACAACTTGCGAGTTACAATAAAACGTACGAGAGAAATACAGTCTAAAACAATGTATACAATTGTGTGGTAGAAGGTCTATTTTAATTAAATTACTGATACTAGCGCTACCGCATTGAATTAAATACCTATTCTAAACACTAAGAAGTGTAAAATCAAAAGAATAAATAAACAATAATATACCAAAACCTATCCTCTGATCATGGGGTTCTTTTTCATGCAACAGCTCAATATTGGGAAAGAGGAAGTCTTACAGGAACTAACCTCACCACTGCGAAATTTCAAAAACTTATTTTCAATGAATACATGGGTATTTATATTTTATCATAAAAAACTTACTATTTTAGTGAAATAGATAAATAATTAATTAATTACTTAATTACTTTTAAGTTATTTGGCACTCGATAAATCAAATACAAAATAATCTACATGACCACATCCACGCCACTTGGGTCTACTTTCATACTCCTGTAATAATATGTGTTGTGTCCATTGTTTATACAATTGCTAGTGTCTCTTTTAATTGTAATTTCATTTTATAATTAGAGCATAACTTATTAAATTTGTGTTCAATAGGTAATTATATATTCATCATAAATACACGTTCTCGTTAAATTTATCGTTAAGTAATTTTTTATTTTGTATTTAGCTATTTATTTGTCAAAACTATGGATGTATTCATATTTTATCACGAGAAATATGTATAATATTGTGGTAATATGACGTGTGTGATATTGATTTAACTATTTAAGAAGTAAAATATTAATTGTTTTCTTATTTTTTTAACCGTATTTTTTTGAAGTATAATTTTATTTAATAGACATATATTTCAATTTATTTGGCACTTAGAAATTAAATTATTAAACTATATTAAGTTATTAAATATTCTAATACACTGAACTGCGACAACATGCAACGTTTTAAACTGATACAATTATAATTAGATGTTACTATATATATATGTTTGCTATTATTATTTTATTTATTAATACTGGAATTATTATCTTATTTAAATTTATTTGTGTCATTTGTATTAATCATTTAAATTACTTATAATTGTTTTATGCTTTAACCTGTTGTATTGGGCTCGGCCTATTCATAAATAAATATAAATATAAGATCGTCAGCTCGATTATGTGTTGCTTAACAAACCTTTGGAATGCATTGAAAGTTCCAAGTTTTTAGTTTATCTATTTTATAACTTATATAATTAGCGTATTACATAATACATATAACATATATACATAATTATATAACCGTGGGTACTAGTTTTATAGCATAGATTCTATAGATTTCGGCGACTTTCTTTATATCGTAGAAGGCAATACAATAGGCAATAGCTATAGTGGTGACTATAGAGAGGGTATACATTTGATGTGCTGCTATCATATATAATTCCAAAAGTCAAAATGTATAATATGTTAAGCATATTTAAATTACACTACTGTACTTGAACAGAATGTCACAAACTCACAAATAAATCTTAATGAAAGTAACTATCTAATTAATTTTGTTTAACTTTGATTTTATTTATATATATATATATTAATAATTCATGCGTTAAAAATGTTGATCAAACCTATGTTGAACAAGTAATAAGTATTTTTGAAAACAATATAGCCACAACAAATCTGTAATATTCCTATAATACACGTTATACTCAGTAGTATCATTTTGTTTATATATTGGTGGAAGATTAGAACAGCATACTAGAACGGTCCAGTTCTAAAATCTTGCTTTGCAAGCATTACGCTTTTGACATTGTTCGGTCTTATAGACATGCCCAAATACAACATATAAAGAATAAATCGTGAATTCATTTAAAACAAAAAACATTTTATGCGTTCCCTGCAATAGTATAACAATATTATTATCATTTAAAATATTGTAATATAGGTAATAAATAGTATCGTTATAATTACAAGTCTTTTACGCCAAATTTGTCAAGTGCATTATACAATAGTAATGTGCCCAATAAAATGCATAAAAACTTCGTGCTACGGATATTTCCCATACAAATCGGAATGCTCTTTTTGTAAAGATTTGTCGATCCCAACCATTGATTCGTCTATATATGTATAGGAATAGATAAAATAACTTATAAGTACTGAAATGTTAATTGATGAACCTCAGTTAGATATACTTACTAACAAACTACATTTATCAGTAAAAATAGATACAATCACAACAATTGGATGCCAAAATAGAATATAAACAAGCATTATACATGTCGTCATTATATACAGCTAACAACATATAAAACACAAGTTTATTTTTACATCAACTCAATTAGCATGAAATATTCTAATATAGAAATAAATGTATAATAGTAAATAATTAATATAAATTAATAAGACAATAATTTAATATCATCTAAGCGTTTTCTACTTTAATACAAACAATATTTAAATACATTTTTGAAAAAAGTTAAATTATAAAAATATATAGGATTTAGAATTACATTATTACTTATCAAGAGCAAAATTGTATACCTCTCCAAAAAAATGAATTATTTGATTTTTCGGTTTCATATTTTTTGGCCATACACGACACTCCACTATAATTATGGATGCACCAGTCATGAAAAGTATAGACGATTCAAAAAATTGAACATCGAATGGGTAGATATTCCGACCAACCATCAGCATTGGACAAGATGGTACTAATAATGAAAATATAGTATACAAATTTGCAGTTATAGTGATCAAACATATTTTTTTTAAAACTTTAATCGATCCATTATTCAAAAGAAACGCCATTTAAAAACAAACAAATCCACAGGACGGTAATATGACCTTTAAGGGTTTATTGTTCTGTATGATAAAGTGTTTAGAACTTAACGAAAATAAATAGATTAAAAAATATATAATGAAAATACGTAGCCTAAACACTAACAAAATATAATTGCGCTTCATAATAATATGATATTATGTAACATAATTTATGTTGCCTTGGTGAGAATATTATATAATAAAGTAATATTATTCAAATGTAGTATACAGTGTAAATATTTTTTTACCTTGTTTATATTCTGAATGATATTATTACTCATATCAAACATTTGTCAATAATTATCAACAATAATACTGTACTATAAAGTTTGAGACGGCGCATTATATAGGCAATTAGTTCTTCGTCACAGGCACAATTAATATTATAAATTGTCAATAAAAAGAGAATATTTAGTTGAAATATCAAATATTGTCATACAGTGTTTTATTCAGAGCTTGAAAACGTTTTAATGAGTAATAATATTTTACTTATAAGAACGTTTGAAATTTTAAACCTAATTAAAGCGGAATACAAAAGATTTGGAGTATTATTAAATAAAACGTAGCAATAACTGTAAAAATGTGTCACTTTTTAATATGAAATAAATCACAAAGAAAAATAATCTTAAATTGGTGTCTCTTACAGTTTTTCTATAAAAAATGTTTTTGGTGCTCTTTATAATATAAACGTTTTAACGTTTAGAACCAGGCTATAAACGTGGTTTTCTTCTTCAAACAGTGCATCCACTTTTAGATGATACTCATGCATAAGCCTTAAAAATATAATTCAAGATTACCTGATTGCTAATAGTTGTTCTAGTTGGAATTTATTGTTGTTAAAAATAAGTTTAGGGTCACAATATTTTTTTTTAGACACTAAAGTTCAAATTACGACGAAATATGGACACACCATGTCGTTTTTAGTTTTTTTTATCTTCATTCGAAAATAATTAATTGTACGGGCTTGAATTGTACGTTAAATGTATATTATTGTTTTATATACAATACAACGAACAAGTTATTTAATCTAATATTAAGTTATTTACCTATTCACACGTTTTTCGGTACGTATTCGCTATTGACTTCTGGACGTTATAATATAGTATAATACAAAAATGTATGATATAATATTTCAGTAATTATTATTGAGTTTAACCTACCGTATTACCGTTGGTTATATAATAGATAGTTAGGTATATCATATATAATCAATGGTAGGTATCACAAACACGTCTTGCCTGAGGGTTGACACACCACCGTCTCCACTCGATCAGAATAATTTTTCAATTTTGTATTAGGTATTGAATTCTCAATTTAAACACAATTATTATGTCATCCAAAACCGTAATTTACTCAATGGCGAGGTACCTAGGTACCAATCTACTAAGCAGGCATTCAGCAAAGCGACTTCTACGGTTTCTCCATTCCTATATATTCTAATTCGGAAACTGCGCGCGTTCGCGTTGGATATATTATCATACACCTTTTAAATCAAAAAAATACAATATTAATATTTCAATTTCAATAATATTTCAATTTTGGCATCAAAATCGCACACTAATAATAGTGTTAGTGCCAAGAAAAAAAATAAAATCTAAACTATAGTGTTTTTAGGTGAGTCGGAAATTTAATTATTAAAAAACCAAAACCGTGTGGGTACGGCAGCGCCGTCTAGTGATAAAAGCAAGCTGCCGCCGTAGGAGTTCTGAACACCGAAAAGTTCAAAACGACGTGATAAACTGATAATGTTGTGATAAATGATAAAAACACCGCTTGGCGCTTGCAGATGAATATAAATAAATGAAAAATATTTTGAAATTGCTGTAGAGTTAACTTATAGTTTCAAAGTTATTAGGTACTTATTATAAATTAATAACTAAAATATGCTTAATTATAGACCATACTTATTGATTACTGTATCAGATTGAAAAATAATTCCTGTTCTATATCACATCGTTGTTTTCGTTCACATTGTTCAAACCTATCCGTCAACATTGAACACTTAGCTCTTATTCCGTATCTGTTGTTTTGGTTGACTGTGTTTTCTACTTTTGATCAATTGAGTAAAGATTTAACCCTTTTATCTGATAGGAATATGTCAGTGAAGGTGATTGATGGCAGTGTTTTAGAAGGAGTAAGTGATAAAATTAAAATTCTGAATTATTTCATATTAAGTATTATTAATTATGTTTTTAATTATTATTTTAATTACCTATATTTGTGATATTTTGATAGGGTGGCCAAATTTTAAGATTGTCTGTAGCATTTTCATGTCTTTTGGAGCAACCTATACTAATTAACAAAATAAGAGCAGGACGATCTAATCCTGGCTTGAAACCTCAACATTTGGCTGGTAAGTGTAAATAGTTAATTATGTTCCTAAATCTAGTATATTAACATTTTAAATATATTTTTGTTATTTAAATCATTATACCAAAATAATTTTTTTGTAGGAATCCAATTAGTTAAACAGATGTGCAATGCAAATACAAATGGAGACCGTCAAAACTCTTGTGAATTGACATTCCAACCAAAAACACTAAAATTGGGAAATTTCAATTTAAATGTTAATTCCCAAACTGCTGCGTATGGATGTATAAATATTTTGTCATACATTTTTCAATATAACTGTTAATTTCCTAGGAGTATTCCTTTGATGATACAGTCTGCTTTGCCTGTAGCAATATTTAGTAACCATAATTCCAGTATTACTATGAAAGGAGGAACTGATGTAAGCTTTGCCCCTTCAATGGATTATGTCAAAAAAGTAATATAAAGTATTTAAGTATTAACTATAACTTTTAGCATAAAATATTAATATTAATTAATTTTAATACCATACATTTTGCATAATAGGTTTTATTTCCCATTTACAAACTATTTGGTATTCATTGTGAAGCACTTATAAACAAACGGTAATGGGTCTTTTGTAATTTTATTTAAGAACATTAGACCCATTTAATTCATTTTTGATTATAGAGGATTTTACCCAAAAGGACGTGGAGAAGTAGTATTGACAGTAAATCCTATTACTGAATATTTAAGGCCTATTGAAATTATTAACTTTGGAGGTCAACCGGCTATTAAAGGATTTGTATTTATATCTGGACCAAAACATCAAAATAGCAAACACACCCAAGTATATAATAGTATTTTAATATAATAATATAATTTTTATTTGCTACAAATGATTTGTAGTAATACTATCTTGACATTCTAAAAACATTTTAAATTATGAAACTTAAAAACCTAATAAACTCTGTATAATTTCCACTTACTTCCCCTTCCTACAACCGCAAAAATATAATTTAAATCATCAAGTAGGCACAAACTATTAGCACAGTAGCCTAAACTATTTTGTAAATGGACAAAAATCATCAACAATTGAATTCATGTGTTTCACATGAAATAATTATTTCCTAAACATGTTTTTAACTTAATAGTAATATTTAGATAGTTCAAGATATAGCAACAGCAGTCAAAAACAAATTAAACTTGTCCGGCTATCATAAAATTACTGTTGAAACTGAGATTGGAGATTCTGATGGTTCTGGTGGCAGTTTAGTGTAATTATAGATTATAATATTGTATTATCCTTTCATTTTACAAATGTTTTCTAATATATTTTTAGGCTGGTTGCCGATACTGGAACGTGCTTGATTGGTTCATCTGCCCTATATGATATGAGAAAATCCACTATAAACAGTCTGACCGATGAAGCTTGTGACAAACTTTTATTAGATTTGGAAGTAAAATCATGCATTGACCCTAATGCTTTGGATAATGTAAATATTACTTTTGATACAATTTAAATGTTAATATCAACAGTATAATATTTAGGGTTAATGTCTTAAAACTGTTAACTAATGAATTTTATTAAAGCTCATTATTTTTATGGCACTCGCAAATGGAAAATCAAAAGTGAAATGCCGAGAAATCACCCTGCACACTAAAACTGCCATTTATATTGCTGAGCAATTTACTAATGTGAGTTAGATTACCTTAATTCTTAATTTCTAATTTTATGTTAATTAATGTAATAAATTGATTTTTTCAGGCTAAATTTAGTACCAAACAGATGGAAGATGGTTTAAATGAAATCATCTGTGAAGGCATTGGATTGAAAACTGTCTAGTTTTTAATTTCATGATAAAATGGTTGAATTTAATTTGAAATCTACAAAATCCTAGTGAATACTTTTATATATATTTTTTATTTATTGCTTTTTAAAATGTTTCAGCACATCAAGTGTTATTACAAGTACATTTACAGTACTTTTATATTTAATACCTACTAAATACAAATAAATAATGTTTAAAATCATTAGTTGTTTTTATTCATGATTATATAAACTGTATTTCAGTATTTAACATAGTATTGAGTTATTACAAGCATGACGCAATATAAGTACCTTCGGATTTGGTTATTTGTAAAAAAAACCATTGGTATCAAACATTTAAACTTGAAACAAAAAAAACTTCAAAGTTAATTGATTTTTTACCATAACTTTTGCCAGATGTTTACTTATTCTTCCAATACAATTTCGTTTTGTAATGTTTGTAATCAATGTTTGTGATTTTGGGTACCGAACAGTGGTGCATTTGAGGGTAGTAAATTGGTATTAAAAGAGAAAAATTATTGCTCTTGGGATAAAACATTTAAGAGGTAGAAATATATATAAAAAAAATTAAAAATTAATAATAATTTATTATGCAGTACATTATTAATGTATAATGACTGTGTCCACTGGTGGATCTCCATGCATTATTATTCTTTTTAAATTTACATATCTATTCAAATGTCTGGAACAATGTTGTAAACTCGACGATGTTTATGGAACAAATGTTCGTAAATTGTTTTACATTTTGGAACAAATGGTAAAGCCCCGTTACGTCTGTAATATACATCAGAACCCCTGTAGGGGTATGCACACCAAATATGGGGAGAGATACAGAGTACATACACTGCAACAAAAAACAACTGTTTTTAAATCGACGTGGAAAATAGAAACCCTTCGTAATAATTTAGTTATTCATCAGCTGATGAAATCAGAG